TCCTTCCTTCCTTCCTTCCTTCCTTTCTACCTTCCTTCCTTCCTTCCCTCCCTCCCTCCCTCCCTCCCTCCCTCCTTTCTTTTTTCCTCCTTCCTTCCTTCCTTCCTTCCTTCCTTTCTTTCTTTCTTTCTTTCTTTCTTTCTTTCTTTCTTTCTTTCTTTCTATGTTCCTTCATTTTTTTCTATTCCTTCCCTTCCTTCCCTCCTTCCTTCCTTCCTCCCTCCTTTCCTTCTTTCTTTTTCTTTGTTTTTATATTCCTTCCTTCTCTTTCTTTTTCCTTCTTTTTATATTTATCCCTCCCTTCTCTCCCTCCTTTTTCCTTCTTTTTATGTACCTCCCTCCCTTCCGTCCTCCCTCCCTCCCTTCTTCCTTTCTTCCTTCATTCCTTCTTCCTTCGTTCATCCTTTCCTTCTTCTTCCCTCCCTTCCTCTCCCTCCTTTCCTTCTTCCTTCCTTCTTCCTTTCCTCCTTCCTTCCTTCCTTCCTCCTCCCTTCCTTCCTTCCTTCCTTCCTTCCTTCCTTCCTTCCTACCTACCTACCTACCTACCTACCTACTACCTTTAAAAATTATTCTGCAAAAGAAAACTTCCAAAAAGATGGAACCGGAACGAAAGTCTGATGAATTTGCTCAACCTAAAAAGGTTGAATCTGATAGGTGACATATTTGCTTGTCCTTTGCTTGCATTTATACTTTTTTAGGAACTCCCTGGATGAAAATCCCTCCTTTTTAAAAAGTCCTCTTTGAGATCTCTGGAGGACAGTTATCCGGGCTTCTTGCTTTTTCTCTGTCCCGTCTCCTCTTCGGTGGCTGACTTTAATTGTAATTCACATCAATTAAATGCCATCAAGAGGGTATCTTCAGGAAATATTTAAAAAAAAAAAAACCCAAGATATTGACTATGACTGCTTGACTTTTGGAAGCTCTGCCCTCCCCCCCACCCCCCAAAAAGCAAAACCTTAAATCTCATAGTCACGGCCATTATCACGACTTGTTTGACCCCCTGTGGACCAGGTTAACCAGCATCCTGTCTTTAAAAAACTTGGTTGAGATTGCGAGTGTGATGCCCTCCTCAACTCCTAACTGAACTTACTCACAAGGTGCCGGCTTGTGAATCCTTTAAACCCCGTGCTTTTTCTCTTGGGGGAACAGCCGCCCGGAGCGCATGCAGACGATCTCTTAGTCTTCTCCCAAAGGTGGTTTTTTTTTTCTTGTTTTTTTCTTTGAAGACGTTTCTCTCCTCATCCAAGAAGCTTCTTCAGTTCTGACAGGATGGGTGGGGAAGGGAAGGATTGATACTCCTTGCAGACGGCTGGTCATTTGCATCCTTTTAGAGGGTCGTTGAGGCCACCTGGAAGTTTGTTGATCTCTTCAGTTGTCCCAGAGGTGCTTTTTTCAAGGGACAACTGGACTTTCTGCTTTTTCTTTTGAAGACGTTTCGCTTTTCATCCAAGAAGCTTCTTCAGCTCTGATTGGATGGTGGGGAACGGAAGGATTTATATTCCTTGCAGACAGCTGGTCATATGCATCTTTTTAGAGAGCGGTTGAGGCCACTTGGAGGTTTATCTGTGTCTTCAAAGAAAAAAACAAGTCCAGTTGCCTCCTGAAAAAGTACCTTTGGGACAACCATGACCTGGACGACTGAGACTCTCCATAGATTCTTAGTCTTCCCCTTTCTCCAGAGAAGCCCCCGCGAAACCCAAACCAATCACGATTCTAGTCTCCGCGTCTTGTCCACATTTTCGGAGGCGTTCAGTCTGCCGTTTCCCGCTACTGGCAACAAACTACAACCACATTTGAGGCCTGCATTTCACCATCGTAAATACGAGTCTATTGCCAAGCCGCCTGAATTTCGACTATAAAGATGCTGCAACCGTCGTAAGTGTGAAAATGAGCGAGTTTGAGTGCCGTCGTAACTTCAAATTGTTGTAAGTCGAGAACTAGCTTCTTCCTATTGCAGCAGACCACAAAACCCCAGTCCCTGAGCAGCAGATTTCTGCTGGCTGGGGATGATGGGACTTCCATTTCTGCCCCAATTTGGGTAAGTAATTGTTTAAAGAAAATCCGAGCTGCCGAGAAGCTGTGGAGCCCGTCAACCCTTGTTAGTTCTGCAAAATCCCTTTCTTTGAACGCTGATCGTTCTCCTATACTTTTTTAAAATTTATGGAAGGCTAAACAAATTGTCCTGGCAAGGAGAGAGGGATGGAAAAATCAGCAGCGGACCTGTGTGACAGAGATAACATTTGAGCTGTTCCTTCCAGCGAGCTGCATAATTTACGGCGTGCATAAAGAGCCATTCTTTTTTGGGGTTTAGTTTTATCCATTTCCGGGGCTGAATTTTTGTGCCTCTCAGAAAATGGTGGACGAGGAGAAGAATGCAAAGCGGACTCTTCAAAACTCCTGTGTGGTCCGCAGGCTGCCTGCAGAGCTGGCAGCAGAATCGGACAGTGGAGAAGAACGTGGGCCAGTCCTGGAGTCTGGGGAGGACTCGGACGATGGTCCTGCGTCCGATACAGAGGTGGAGCCAGGGCCATCTGGGAGTTATATGCCAGATTCCGGAGCCTCCAGAATCTGACAGCAGCGAGGCAGAGGAGTAGGGGGAGCCTGTTTTCAGTGCGCGCATGAGCAGAGCTGCCGGAAGGCAAAAACAGTTAAGACAAAAGGGACGACTCAGGAATAAGGCTTAGAGGTGATTGGCCCCTCCCCTAAGACATAAAGGAGGAGCAAAGGGACAGGAGCCTTTGCAGGATGCAAATGACCAGCTGTCTGCAAGGAGTATAAATCCTTCCCTTCCACGCCATCCAGTCAGAGCTGAAGAAGCTTCTGGGATGCAAAATAAGCAAAATGTCTTCAAAATAAGGAAAATACCTTCCCTTTCCTTTGGCAACTCTAAAAAAGACCACAGACCTATTTTATGAGTTGACATTCAGCCTTCATAACATTTTGCAACACTGAATTGTGGGTCTCTTCCCCCTTTGTGTGTCCACAGAGGAAGAACATCCACATCAACGACAATGTCTTGCAAGCAGCATTCGAATCCGGCGTCCAGAAAGCTGTTTCCTGCTTATCCACCTGCATATTTCCAGACAAGACCACCTACCCTATAGATGAGACCATGGTAAGGGCGATAAATCAAATCCCCTTTTCTCCATTTACAGGTAGTCCCCGGCTTACAGCCCCCGTGGAGCCTGATATTTCCGTTGCTAAGTGAGGCAGTTCTTCAGTGAGTCTTGCCCCCCCATTTTACCGCCTTTCTTTTCCCCGGTCGTTAAGTGAATCACTGCAGTTTTGAAGGTAGGGATGCGGTTGTTAAATTAATCTTGCTTCCCCCGTTGACTTTGCTTGTCAGAAGGACGCAAAAGGGGATACGTACGTCCCCGGGGCACTACGACCGTCATAAATATGAGCTGGTTGACCATAGGGATGCTTCAGTGGTTGTAAGTCTGAAACGGTTAGATTTTCATCCCCTGGAGATGTGCTGTGGGATATTATGAGTTGCAAGCAGCCAAGACATATGGGAGTTTTTCTTCTCCTGTTTCTCACCGTTTGGCTGAAATGGTATAGTCCCGGAGCAGGGGGTTGGACTAGAGGACCTCCATAGTCCCTTCTAAGCAGTTTCTCTGTTAATTAGTGTAACGACTTGCCTCTGGAAGTTGTGGCTGCTCCATCTCTAGAGCTTTTCCAGAAGAGAGTGGGTAGCCAGGATGGTATTGAGCCGGAACAGGAGGTTGAACTAGAACAGGGGTTGCCAAAATTTTGGACCTCAGGGACCACCAAACTCATAATTTTAGATCCCGGGGACCACTAATATGAATTTTGACTGACGGTGGCTTGCTGACAATGGTGGGAGAGAGAGAGAGAGGGAGAGAGAGAGGGGGGGGGGAGAGAGGGAGAGGGAGAGGGAGAGAGAGAGAGGGGGAGAGAGAGAGAGAGGGAGAGAGATCTCTTCTACCCTCTCTCTCTCTCTCTCTCTCTCTCTCTCTCTCTCTCTCTCACACACACACACACACACACACACACACACACACACAGGCAGGGTGGGATTCAAATTTCTTAACCGGTTCTGTGGGCATAACCCTAATTTGTGGGTGCGGCTTGGTGGTCATGTGACTGGCTGGACATGGCTGGTATGTAAATATTATCAATATTTATGTAAATATTGAATTTTTTTATTTAAAAAAAGAGCAAATTTTTACCCCAAATCAGGCAAAGTAGGCAGGCAGATTGAGTTGCTCACAGAAGCACAGATTCACTCAGAGATCTATCTTTCTGCCATCGGCTACCTGAGTCTGCACTGAATAGAATCTTCAGGCTCAGCTCTGCTTTTGGATTAGTTAGAAAGCAAGAAATCCAACAATTTCCTGCTTTCTAGCTCATCTAAATCTCCCGGCACAGCAGAACAGCTGATGGTTGGGAAAAAGGAAAAATAGCAACTTAGCAGGCAAGTTTGCCAGGTAAGGAGTGAGTGGGCGGGGAAGGTTCCCGTGGCCCATGTGGGTGGCGCAGCCTTGTGTTTCTGCACAGCCTGGATTAATTGCTTTTGTGGGGGGTGCTCTGGGGGTGACATTTCTCTGCAGACCACCAAAATTTTCTCGTGGACCGCAGCCCACCAGTTGGCAACCCCTGGACTAGATAACCTCCAAGGTCCTTTGTTATTCTGGGGGCAGAGTCAGCTGGAAGCTTATCCTTTTTAGATGTATCTCTAGGGCAGTTTTTCTTGATCTCTGCAACTTTAAGGCAGGTGGACCTCAAGTCCCAGAATCCCCCAGCGAAGCAGGGGAATTCTGGGATTTGAAGTCCACCTATCTTAAAGTTGCTGAGATAGAGAAGCCCTGCTCCAAACGACCCTTAATGTTTCTCTGTGTCATAGAATATATGCAGGTATATGCCTAATTTTTTTATTTATTTTGTTTGTTTATATTTTTGTCACGTTCATATAGCATCTATTGGAGGTGGTAACCCTTGGAGAGCAGCATGCAACAAAATTTCATATCAATGCATGCCGATTAATGTGCATTTAAAGTGACAACCAAGTTATTCTAAGTCTAATTTCTTTCCCCCATGTTCCTTCTAACCCTAAATTTGGAGTTTGGCCCAGGTCTCACCCTTCTCCATCATCTTTGGTCTTTCTGCTGGATCCTGGAGCTCTCTATGTCCTGCCCAGAGGTGGCCTTCAGAAGAGAACCAGAAATCGCCATTTTCAGAACTTCCGCGTGTCGCTTGGGCTTCCTAACGTGCAAAAATTTCCCTTCCAGATTCACAACGGCCCTCCGCATAGCTCCAACTTTGGGTACGCGTACGCCAAAAGAATGATCGATGTGCAGAACAGGTAATCCTGGTCACCCCCTAAGAGTTCTAGGACCGGTCAGGAAATGGTAGTGGCATAACTGAAAGTTAGAACTGGGATGGAATTGGAGAGGGGGAAAATAATGGAATACACTTCTTTAATAATAAGATGATGTAAGAAAAAGAAAGGAAAGTAGAAGTTGAGCGAAGGGGATATTAAGTATATTTGAATAACATCAGGATTGGCGTAAAAGAACTAATACAATGAAATTGTCAGTATTCCGGCAGTTCCCCCCATTTAAATCGTGAGTCTCGAGCCAAACTTTTAAAACTTCCAAAGGATTTATTGGGAGCAAACATGTCTGGCACTGCCTGGGTGTAGCTGACTCTGAGGCACGTCATTCACTGTCACCCTTGACCCTGGTTTTCCCCCACACCCCCTGCGTGTATCGTAATTCATATTCTCCAATGGGACACCTCCCTAGCCCAGAGTCCTCAGTCATGCTCTCCAGTTAGAATTTTGCACAGCAGAAACTTCAGTGACCTAGTTACTATCTTTGAAAACATTTATGGAACGCGCGTTCGGTTTGCAAGCTGCCACACTGCTTCCCCCTTTCTTTCTGTTGGCAACTCTAAAAAGACCAGAGAAATATCTTATGAGTTGACACCCAATTCCTTTTCTTCTCCCAGGGCATACTTCGAACAGCACGGCTGCCACTTCACGGCTGCCATCCCCACGAACATCTTCGGGCCCTACGACAACTTCAGCATCGAGAACGGACATGTCCTGCCAGGCCTGATCCACAAAGTGTACCTGGCCAAGAGTGAGTGACAGGTGGGGGGGGGATGGGGGTGGCGAGCGTCCCCTGTTCTAACCCTCGAACACAAAATAATTTGTGACAGTCAGTTTCATGTAGTGGTTCAAGCGCAGAGGTAAAACCCAGGAGATGGTGAGTTTTAGTCCCACTTTAAGCCTGAAAGATGGCTAAGGGGACTCTGGGCCAATTGCCAGGAGACTGGGAGTTCTAGTCCCGGTTTTGGCTTGAAAGCTGGCTGGGTGACTTTGGACCAGTCACCAGGAGACAGTGAGTTCTAGTCCTGCTTTAGGCATGGAAGCCATCAAGGTGACTTTGGGCCAATCACCAGGTACTGTAAGTTCTAGTTCTATCTTAGGCATGAAAACCTGCCGGGTGACTTTGGGCCAATCAGCAGGAAATTCTGAGTTCTAGTCACCCCTTCAGCATGAAAACTAACTGGGTGACTTTAGGCCAGTCTCTCTCTCTTTCTCTCTCACCCCAACCCACCTAACGGGGTTGTCGTTTTTGGCAAAAATAGCAAAAGGAAGGTGTGTTGGCCATGTTCGCCACATTGAGTTATTTGTAAAAAAGGTGAGATGCCAATAAAAATAATAATAGAATAGAACAGAGTAGAATTCTTTGTTGTCCAAGTGTGATTGGACACAGAAGGGATTTGTCTTGGTGCAAATGCTCTCAGTGTACATAAAAGAAAAGAGACATTCGTCGAGAATCATCAGGTACAACACTTAATGATAGTCATAGGGTACAATAAGCAATCAAATCCTACTAGGAAACAGTCAATAAAAATTGTTAGGATAAAAGTGACGAAGTTACAGTGATACAGTCTCAAGTGGAAGAGGATGGGCGATAAGGAGTGAGGAGAAGATTAATAGTGATAGTAGTGCAGACTTTGTAATAGTTGAACAGGGTTGAGGGAATTATTTGTTTAGCAGAGTGATGGCTTTCGGGGGAAAACTGTCCTTGTGTCTAGTTGTTCTGGTGTGGAGTGCTCTATAAAGAGAAGAAGTGAACAGAAGAGACAAAGAGAAGAAGAGAAGAAGAGACGAGAAGAATAAAAGAGAAGAATAGAATAGAATGGAATGGAATAATAAAATACAGAATGGAATGGATTGGAATGGAGTAGAATAGAAATAAGAATTAGGAAGAGGAGAGGAGAAGAGAAGAGAAGAGAAGAGAAGAGAAGAGAAGAGAAGAGAAGAGAAGAGAAGAGAAGAATGGAATAGAATAAGGAAAGAATAGAATGGAATGGAATGGAATAATAAAATACAGAATGGAATGGATTGGAATGGAGTAGAATAGAAATAAGAATTAGGAAGAGAAGAGAAGAATAGAATGGAATAGAATAAGGAAAGAATAGAATAGAATAGAATAGAATAGAATAGAATAGAATAGAATAGAATAGAATAGAATAGAATAGAATATTCTTTATTGGCCAAGTGTGATTGGACACACCAGGAATTTGTCTTGGTGCAAATACTCCCAGTGTACATAAAAGAAAAGATACATTCGTCAAGAGTCAAGAATCATCAGGTACAACACTTAATAATAGTCACAGGGTACAATAAGCAATCAAATCATACTAGGAAACAGTCCTTATAAATCATAAGTATACAAGCGACGAAGTTACAGCCATACAGTCACAAGTGGGAGGGGATGGGTGATAAGGAGCGAGGAGAATATTAACAGTAATAGTAGTGCAGACGTTGTAAATAGTTAGACAGTATTGAGGGAATTGCAGAATAATAACAGAATAACTGAGTGGGAAGGGCCCTTGGAGGCGTTCTAGTCCAACCCCTGCTCAGGCAATAAAGAAGAATAAATAAACAGAGAGCTCCTGCGATTTGGCTGAACGGGAGACGTGGCAGGGGAGGGGTGCCTTTTAACGGAGGGGCTCCCAGGACGTTCCCCACCACCTCTGCGGCTTAAGGGAAGGAAAAGCGACCCGAAGAGAGCAACTCTCCAAGATTCCTGGCTCTTGTCTGTCTTCCTCCCCCTCCTTCCTTCCCCTTCGGGCAATCAAGAATCATCCATAAATCAGTGGCTGTCTTGGAGATGTGGCTGCTGCCGGTGGGGGTCCTGGCAGACACTCTATCTGAGCAAGAATCCCGGCTTCGACAAGCCAAGTTTGCCGGTGCATCTGCTAAGCATTGAGCCTCCTCCGCTCTGCTCCCGTCGGGGTTGAAGCTGACACAGAGACGCTGCCAAAGGCCTCCTTGCGCTCGGAGGCCAAGTTGGGCTACGCAGGCTTTGGAATTGGGGCAGGGGGAGAGCGACCCCTCTCTGCTGTCCCTAGAAGGGCGGCAGGAGAGGATGTATCTAACGGCCGAATTTCTCCGTGCTTTTCCTCCAGAAAACGGCACCAATGTCACCGTCTGGGGCACAGGAAAACCTCGGAGGCAGTTCATTTACTCTCTGGTAAGCCTAATCACCACACTGCATGTCAAGGAAAGGAGGGAGAAGCTCAAGTATGTTCAGTCTGGGGGTGACCAGTGTGAAACGTGGCTTCAAAGGGTCCCACGAAAGTTTGAGGTAACAGCTTCTCCTCCGCCAATGACTCACGGAGGCTCTCCATTACTGTCGTGTTGACAAGCGCCTGGGAAATTGGGAGTTTAAATGGCTTGGATGTTGACCTCGGCGTTGGTGAGGCACTTCGTATCGGGAAACCTTCCGCCACTGTCGCTTTCCCTTCTCCCCGTGCTGCCGCGGCATTTAAAGCAACGCCACGGCGTTTGGCACAGCCACGCGCGGCCAGCCGGGGCTCCTCCCTGCAACTGGAGGCCGGCGGAGACACTCGGCTTCAGGCACTCCTGTCGCCGCCTTCTCTTCGCCTTCGAAGGCAAAGCCAATTCTTTTAAAAACGACGCCCGGCTACCGGTACGACAAAGACTCCCCTGCCTGAGAGGGCAGCCCAACCCCACGTGAGGAGGCGATTCTCCCGGGGCTGCAGCGCAGGATCGGCCCACCCCAGGAGAAGCGCCCAGCCGCCATCCCTGCCTGGTGCTGGGCAGAGCGCGAAGAGCTTCGCCTGGGGTGCCAGCACAGCTGACAGGTGGGCCCTGCTGCCCAGCGGCGGAGCTCTCGCCAAGGCAGCGGGCGCCTCCCTGACAGACCCTCCGCTCATCCCGCCAGAGCCGTGCAGGCTGGGCAGAGGCGGGAAAGCGAGCCGCAGGTGCGCGCTCGCCTGGCAAGCAAAAGAGCCGGGCCGACCCGAGCTTGGCTTCCTTCCCAAGTCCCTCCAGCCCGCAGTATCATTGCCTCGGACAGCCTCTCCCAGGGGCCCCTTTGGGTCCGGGCTTTGAGGGACTTGGGAAGGAAGGGCAGGAGCCAGGCAGGGATGGCGGCTGGGTGCTTCTCCCGGGGTGGGCCGATCCTGCACTGAGGCCCTGGGAGATTTGCCTCCCCACGTGGGTTTGGGCTGCCCTTTCAGTCAGGGGAGTCTTTGTTGTACCGGTAGTAGAACATTGTTTTAAAAGAATTGGCTTTGCTTTCGAAGGCGAAGGGAAGGCAGCAACAGGAGCGCCTGAAGCTGTGTATCTCTGCCAGGCTCTGGTTGCAGGGAGGAGCCCTGGCTGGCCGCACGTGGCTGCGCCAAACGCCACGGCATTTCTTTAAACACCGCAGCAGCACGGGGAGAAGGGAAAGCAACGGCGGAAGGTCTCCCGATACGAAGTGCCCCACCAACGCCGAGGTCAACTCAGGCAGCACCATATCTGGGTATGCAACAAAAGTACTTCCTAACGGGCAGCCCCCCTGCCATTCCCCCCCCATTTTGCATGTTTAATTTGGGGGGAGGGGCTTAATTTTATTTTATGCCTATAAAGCATGCTGGGACTTCCTATTGGGGGAGGCCGTATTGTTGGAGAAACACGGTAGTAGGTGCCAGTTTCCCGCAAAGCTATCATAAAACACGATATTGTGATCACAGGAGGCTGCGAACAGCGGTAAATCCATCTGTGTTGCTATAATTGTCTGAACTTTGATCACAGGGGCGCAGAGGGGTCCCAGCTGTATACGAACCTGGGACATAAGTGCTTGGTCGTAACTTGGAACGGTTACTAAGCAATGTCTAGGACTATCTGTATTAGAAAATTTCTTCTCTTAATGTCTTTCAGGACCTGGCTCGGCTGTTTGTTTGGGTGTTAAGGGAGTACAATGAAATAGAACCCATCATCTTGTCAGGTAGGTGCCGTCTGTCGCAAACACCGGAGTTTGGATCTGAAATCCTTTTTTTTTTTTTTTTTTAAATATCCTATTGTTTGTGATGATGCATCTGCTTAAATGCTTCTCACCCAAGTTTGGAAGTTTCAGAAGGTGGTAAAGGAGAATAAAGAGAGAGACTATCGGGCTCCAAAAACCAAGAAGGACCCACGGAGTTGCTTCTAAGCAAGTTCCTTCATTGTTCCTGACCTCTAGACAGAATCTTGCCAAACTAAAGCAGTCTGTTTGCATTATCAGAGATATCCTCTGAGAACTTCTACGGCAGGAGCTGTGTTACTTCTCTTCCTCCCAAGCATACAATCTAGGAGGACAATCACTGTGAGGTCCTCGGTGGTCTCTGAGCTTGGCTGTTGTCTTGCAGGCGTTTCATTATCCAACTAGGTAACATCATCAGTGCTAATAAGGAGTGGCTCTCTATTTAGTTTCTGTCTCCTCCTCCTCCTCCTCCCCCCCTCCTCCTTCCTCCTCCTCCTCCTCATTCTCCTCCCTCCTCCTCCTCCTCTGTTTATATTCTCCTCCTCTTCCTCTTTTTCCTGCTGATGTCCCAGTCGTAGTCTCTCCTAACACTGATGACATTACCTGCTTGGGTAATAAAACGGCTGCAAGAAACCCCCACAGTTGTCCACCTCTTCCTTCTATCTTCCTCCCCCTCCACTCCTCCCCCTCTTCTTCTTCTTCTTCCTCCTCCTCCTCCCTTCTGCAAACACCCCTCTTTCCTAGCACTGATGATGTTCCCTAGTTGGGTACTGAAATGTCCGAAAGAAAACAGTTGAGAGATCATCCAGGACTCCATATTCCTCCTCCTCCCTCCCTTCTCATCCCCCTTTCTGCTGTTGTCCACAAAGCTCACTTCCTTTTTAGCACTGATGATGTTACCTACTTGGGTAATAAAACGTCTGCAAGTAAGCAGCCAAGCTCAGAGAGCACCGGGGATCCCTCCACCCAGCCCACCTTCCACCCCAAAGACCAGGCCGATCCCTTCCCATGTCAAGGAGAGGTTGAGGGAAAGGGAGCCTGTTGGGCAGCCTAATGACAGGATGGATCCAAGGAATGACGGGGCATCTCAGGACTTGGCCTCATCGTCTTATTCTGCTTCTTCTGTCTCAGTGGGAGAAGAAGAAGAGGTGTCCATACGAGAAGCCGCTGAATGCATCGCGAAAGCCATGGACTTCAAGGGACAACTTCTGGTATCCTTTGTCAGTGATTCCCCAGGCATCGGAGCAGACCAAAATCTCAGGTCCTTTCTACAGCACGGATGGTCCTTGATTTACGACATAATTTCCGTTGCTAAGCAATGGAAAGTCTATGGAGATCCTCAGTCATCCAAGTCATAGATATCCTGCAGATGCTTTTTCACAAGAGGCTACCGGGCTTCCTTGTTTTTTTCTCTGAAGATGTTTCACTTCTCCTCCAAGAAGCTTCTTCAGCTCTGCCTGGATGGTGGGGAAGGGAAGGATTTATACTCCTTGCAGACCCAGCTGGTCATTTGCAGCCTTTGAGAGGGTGGTTGAGGCCACTTGGAGGTTCTTCTGTGTCCTCAGGGTCACCTGAGTGGTGCAAATGGTTCTTGTAGTCTGCAATTACTAAAAAAATTGGGAGCACTACTCAGCTGACCCTGAGGACACAGATAAACCTCCAAGTTCTTTGAAGATGTTTCACTTCTCATCCAAGAAGCTGTCTGAAGTGATGTAGGACTGTGGCTCCCAAAGGCTTGAGGAAGGCGTCTGCATGCTTCTACAGGCTTTGTAGGCCGAAAAGTAGCCCTATTTAGTCACTTCCGGTATTTTCAGAAAAACAGGAAGTGATGAAACGGGCCTAGTTTTCGGCCTGCAAAGCTTGCAGAAGCCTGCAGAAGCCTTCCTCAAGCCTTTGGGAGGCCGAAAAAGGCCTCAAACCCGCCGAAAATCAGGTGTGAGGTGTAGTGCATGCACATGCATAAAGGGTGTGGGGGGCATGCATTGCCTTCTGGGTGCTGGCATGCCAGCGCAAGAACGCCAGTATGAACACATTTTTTGGCACAGGAACCCCAAAAAGTTAGCCACCGCTGCTCTAGGGTTCCTGTCTGAGCGGAGGGGCTGGACTAGAAGACCTCCAGTCTGGTTCTGACTCATCAAATTTGAGTTTCTGGGATGGATCAAGAACAGCCACTTCTTGGCCCAACATAACCAGCAAGAACAAATCCTTCCGTTCCTCACCATCCAGTCAGAGCCGAAGAAGCTTCTTGGATGAGAAGCGAAACGTCTTTAAAGAAAAACCAAGAAAGTCCAGGTGTAAAAGCACCTTTAGGACCTGGATGGCTGAGAATCACCACAGACACCACAGACTTTTAGCTATACAATTTGGGATGAAGACCCTTGGAATGGTGTGGGGGGGTTAGGAATGGCTTTCGAGAAGGAAAAAAAGAAACCAGGATCATCACTCAGGTGACCCTGAGAGGACACAGATAAACCTCCAAGCGGCCTCAACGACTCTAAAAGGCTGCAAATGACAGCAGCTGTCTGCAAGGAGCATAAATCCTTCCATTCCCCACCATCCAGGCAGAACTGAAGAAGCTTCTTGGAGGAGAAGTGAAACATCTTCAAAGAAAAACACCAGAAAATCCAATTGCCCCCTTTGGGACACACATCAACTTCTCAGGATTTGGAAACGCAAGTTGTCAGTTGTTTCTGTAGACATCTGTCACATGTTCCCAAAAGCTCCCATTCTCTCTATGAACCACAGCCCTGCAAGGTGTGCTTCATAGAGTCCCACCTTCCAAAACTCTGGGTGAAGTTTTTAATCCTACAGACTGCCGGTGATGACCTGGGGCGCGGCATAGAGATAACCCAGGCAGCTGGCACTTCAAACCCTTTATTGCTCCAAATTTTGCCAAACGCTCCCAAATTTCTGGCAAGTCCCAGAGGAAAGTGAGGATTAATCCCTACACATATCTCAAGCGGACTCTGGCTGCAAATAGTCCAGTGCCCAATGCTGTGTACACCAAGGCTGCACAGCAATAAATCCAGCAGGGCAAATCTAGGAGTTTAGGAAGCAAAGGAATCAGGTGATTAGTCCAGAAAGCCAGAAAGAATACAAGGACCCTTGGAAAGTTGAGACATTGGCGCTCAACACTTCAGGGACTCAGCGTTTGTTCCCGACAAATGTGTTGTGGTCTGTGGGCTGCCTGCGGAACTGGCCGCAGAGTCGGACAGTGGGAAGGAACACGGGCCAGTCCAGGAGTCTGGGAAGGGCTCGGATGAGGGATCTGAGTTCGACACAGAGATGGGGCCAGGGCCAACCGAGAGTTATGTGCCAACTCCAGAGCCTCCAGAATCTGAGAGCAGCGAGGCAGAGGAACAGGGGGAGCCTGTTTCCAGTGTGTGCTTGCGCAGAGCTGCCAGAAGGCAAGAACAGCTAAGACAAAAGGGGCGACTGGGGAGTAAGGCTTGGAGATGATTGGCCTCTCCCATAAGACATAAAGGAGGAGCAAAGGGACAGGAGCCTTTGCAGGAAGCAACTTTGTTCGTTCTGGTCGGTTAAAACTCTGAAGCTCCGTGTCGACTTTGTGCTCCGTTTAGCTTTGTAGTACAGCTAGTGGGCAATTTAGTCATTGGCAGCATTTCAAGGGAGATAAAGGTGGGTGCTTATCAGCCTTATCCTGAAGGACTGTGGCAGAACTTCTATTGGACGATTCATCAACTGGTTGGGACACATTACGGGCTGGGAATGCATATAATTCACAGCCGTTGAAATTAAAACAAAGGTTTTGGGGAACAGTGTGTGATTGTTACTGTCTCAGGAAGCCTTGGTAAAAACAAAATGCCCCCCCCTACAGTGTATCCTGAAGCCTCATTCTCCAGATGTGCCTTGTGAAGTGGGGCGGGGTGTTCTCCAGAGTAGCTGGCTCAGTCTGCACTGTTCTCGCCTTCTCTCTACTCTCCATGCTCTCGGATCAGGAGGGGACGGTCCGTGCTCCTCACCTGAGCTCTTGCGTCTCCTGTTCCTCCCTGACTACAAACTGTCCTAATCCTGAAAGGCCCTGCCCTTCCCCATTTTCCTCCAACGCCAACAAAGCCGCCCCCTCAATCTCTTATCGGCTCAAGTTCCAGCTTTGGTCTGTCTTCTTCAGATTGATCTTAGGGTCCTTTTCTTTAACCTCGTCCCCTACTTTGAGTTTGACGAATCCAAATCAGATGGTCAGTTCAAGAAAACAGCCAGCAACGCCAAGCTGAGGAAATATCTGCCTGACTTCCAGTTCACACCGTTCGATCAAGGTAAGAGAACCACGTCCGATGAGGCCTCTTGGGTCATGAGGCCTTGGGAGATTTGGCCACATTGGGAGTGGATCTCCTTCACCCAATGAAGGTGTCGCGATCATGT